GTCTCAAAGAACCGCCCCATCTCCCGATACACCAGCCGCCACTGCTCCTGTAACAACTACACTCAAGTTTCCCCAAAAATCTAGGAATCAATTGATTAGTCTCAGCGGGAGCTTGCTTGAAGAAGCGTGAGCACACTTACAGAAGCTTTAGTCGCTAGGAGCTTACTCCCGCCCATACTTACTTGAGTAGCCGCCTCTTAATTAAGTAAGGGCTATGCCGCTCATTCTGCCAAAAACCTCCCTTGAGTCATCTTGAGTGCTCAGGTCCTCATGTACGTAGAGATGCTTGCGTAGAGCTCACGTTTGTCATCGATTTGGAGGTAGGCGTCCCAATCCGCCTCAGCGGCTCAGGTTATTCAGTCCGTGCCCCAGAGTTGATGGGTATTGGAGTCAAAACCACAGAATCGATCCCCCTGACGACATCGCTGCCATTAAAGATCATTAAAGCTCCTGGATGTTGAACAATCCGTCTGGCCGCAAGCGGCTGTGTTCTTGGCCTTTGCGGTTCCATCCGAGTCATTCTTCCCTGATGGAATGACACCATCCAAGAGTCTGGCCATCCAGGATTCCAGGTAGTCAAGGTAGGGCAGCACCTCTTCCACCGCAGAATTCAGTCGGAATGGCGAGCCATCTTCGATGGAATGGGACGGAACAGGGCGAAAGAAGGAACCTACTCTATACTACACACAACAGGTTAAAATGATGTCACAGTATCTGGAAATTACTGATGCCCAGTATATCCCAGTATATAGTATTGACTTGATTGATTGGGGATTCTTATCGAACATTACTCCTTTGTCTCTTTCGGCATCTTTCGGCCTGGTCAAACATGTCGGCCCGAGCCGCAAAATCCAGGGTGTACCTCGCACCCCAGCGCGCGCTTCGCATGGAACTGGTGACTGAACATCTCGAGCCCTGCATCTAAAGCGCACAATTATGATTCTCACTCGTCTCGGAGCCATCTTCACCGCTACTCACTGAGCACCTCTGAGCCACACTTGCAAAACACTCCACCAATCTGTGTCAAAACACATGACATCCAAGGCTTCTTGTTTTGCCGGTCAAAGCATGATAGTATGGTGGTCAAAACATTCTGCAGTCATCAAGAACCCGTGTGTTCCTCGAAAGCAGCTCGCAGAGTGTTGTTTCATATGGTTGAAAAACAAATTGCAAAGGCCTGAAGACAAGCTCTTTGCTACGTGACAAAAGGAAAACGATATAGTGAGTTGTGGCTCTACTCATGGGGAGGTGGCTAGAACAGGACTTCTGAGGTATCGCTTTGGGTATCCCTCTAAAATAGTCTAACATGCTCTATTGTTTTGTTTTTTCCCGAAAACAGTAGTATCAAATAAATATCCTTGAGAGTTAGCCTATTCCTGGAACAGAAGTGGACAAGCTGCCTCTTCCTAGCCATTCTGCTCCTAAGATCCCTGAACAGCTATGCGCCAACACAGGCCATGGAAAACTCCAAAATGTACTGGTATCATTTCTGCAGGGCTCCCTATCGCTACACACAGTGATTGCAGAGTTTTACAAAGTCAAAGGCGGTTCACCTCTAAAACTCTTCATAGGACGTTTTGGCCCTTGCTCATATGATTACCACATTCCTGATTGAACACCGCAAAATACCTCTGGGCGCACTTGAAGACTCGGTATCTGAACCTGGTCTGACAAAAATCATCCACGTAAACAAAGCACAGAGTAAACAAACAAACATGCAGCTTCCTATATTGAAGTCCTCTACTACTTCTATCAAGCTGCTCCACCGCTGGATTGTTGAAGGTGTTGTACAGCATCATGAGGAGTCTCAATCGCAGCTCCGGCTGCCTTGGCATCAAGAAACCTTGACAGCTCGTGGCCAATGTAGTAGCGTCCTTGCTCCTAGTAGTAAGGCCAGGAGCCCCTAGTAGAGTCCTTGCTCCTAGTAGCGATGCCAGGAGCCCCTAGTAGCGTCCTTGCTCCTAGTAGTTACCCTTTCAGAACGCCATTCCTTCAAAGCTGTTGTCTTGAAATCACTCCATTCCTTCTGCTTCCACGGCTTGTTCTTGGCAACTGAGACCCCGTGCTGTTCAGTGTTCGCGCTAAACAAATCACAGAGCTGTGTAGTGGCTCTGTCCAGGTGAGTCGCATCCTGGACAATGGAGTCACGATGGTGTCAACAACGGACAGTCGCACGTGTCGCACGGGGTCTGTCTGTGCCCGGATGAGGACGCACTTCGTGTTTGTCGAGCAAGTGAGGACGATGAGCATCTAGCGAAAGGCTTGAGGGCTGATCTAGCGAACATGAATCAACTGATCTTGAAGGTATCCCTCCAAATGCTACACGCTCCAGTCATCGAGTCGACTTGTCTTCATTTGTCTTCCCATCCCCTTTAGTGCTACACCGATCTGGAGGTGCGCCCTTTACGCGTCTACCCATTGGTCTGTGAGAGGACCGTCTCAAACGCGGTCCTCGAGCAGTAGCAGCATGCTCAAAATCAGCGCGAAGAAGCTCTGACATTCATCGACACCGAGCCGGGCGAGCAGCAAACGCGACCGAGAAGCAACGCTTTCACTAGATTCTGACACCACACTTCGAATCTCCATGCAAGTATGCCTTTGTTCAGGTACTTCACGGTATTTCTATTCTTTTGTTCCACCGTTTGGCGTGTCCAAGACTATCGAGCACCAGTGCTTTCTTAAAACCCTCGTCATCGGTATGAAGCCTCGACCTCCCTCAGCCGCTCTTCTGGTTTATTCTCAGGGATGGCTGAGAACAAATTCTGGCGCGCGGCTTCAAAGGGCATTGCGACTGCAAGGATCTTCATCAGTCTACTGAGTCTACTGTTTGATGTGTTAATGAATGTCAAGAGGGTACTGTATACGATTCATTGCAAAGCATATATGGTAGGACCCGGTTGTAGAGCCCATCGTATGTTTAGAGTTTAGACTCCTTCCATACAAGACTGCACAATATTTACAAACTGACCTGACCAAGTTGGGTGTCATTTTTGTTGCTTCTATGGTATATCATTGTGTGATATTGTATGTTCGTCCCGACAAGAGCAAACACCACAATCATGAATCCTGATGCCAAAGAAACCAACGCCTTTTTGTCAAGTGCTCGAGTGCTCAATGCCCCAGCACCTTGCTATATTCGACGAGCAGATCAAAGACAGGACCGTAGTCGTACCTTCAGCTGCCAGCAATGGAAGAACAACAGTTGAATATAAACGATACACATAACGATGCACTTCTTGCTCTCCCCTCTTTCAGGAGCTAACGCAATGCGAGGTCAGAGATGTCTGATCAATACCATCTGGTCAGACTGGATGCGTCTCGATCAGCAAACGCGCCTCTTGCTCGTTTCTTGAGCATCCTGGCCGGGCGGAAGTGGAGTCGGACCGTGGTGAGGTTGTTTAGTTGGTTGGTTGGGCTAGAAGAATGAGATGCGACCTGCAGCCTGAGCTTTAGTATTCCTACATTTGCTTTTGTGGTCACCAAATGCATATCACACGTTGAAGCGAAAAGCAACATTCAATTCCAGGTCCATGATAGAACATGGGTCAACAACTTTTTGCACGGGGCCCCCTCCATTGCGGTACCCCTCCTTAGATGGTCAAATTGTCAAAGGTGCTTGTAATCCACGCCAAAGCTACTTTCGCACTACCAGTAATTCAGCCATTTATGCATATTCATGCAGTCAAAGGTGTCCCCCGCCAAAGGCCTCGGCAACCCGTGCTAACAAGCTCGCAGTGTCTTGCTAACAAGCTCGAGTCCTTGAAGTCCTTCTTGAATCTTTCAGTAAAGGCTTTCTCGGCTTCGAGCCCTTGCTGCTGTTGCAAAACTCTCCTGGCCACGTTTTGGCCGAAGCGAACCACACAGCGACGCGCACCGTCGCACGTCTGGAGCGGAGTTCGACGAAACACTTGAGAGGATCTCTGGAAGATTTTTTTCTTGGGATTGGCATGAAGATCATTTTTCGGTTGGAGGCCATCGCTATGAGGAGTCTTTTATTTTTTCTCCTCTCTCTCTCTCTCGGCTCCGAGCCAACACGACGCTCGGCTCCGTCTGGCGGAGTCCGGCGCCGGAGAACGGCGCCCGGGTCCAAAACAGCTGGGGAGACTGCAACCACTCAGCGCCCTGTACAATGGCATCCTCCTGCAGTCGGAAAAAAGACGCTAGTAACAAAGGAACTTATTTAGATTAGTGGCCATGCCTCTCTCCCAAACTCAAGTGTACAATCCACAACGGCACACTGTAAGAGTAGATACGGTAGATTGTGCAAAATGGCATGGACTCCTTTTCTCTGTCTTGCTCAGCCGACAAATCAATTCCTCACCTCTCCCTCACCGTAGTTGATGTAGGTAGCCATGCTGTCCTGAAACATGCTGCGAACTTTTCCCGAACTGGGCTCTGGTCAGCCAGTCGGAGGCACACATAGCACACAGAGACAAAGGAGGTGGTTTTAAAGAAGTTCATCATCTTCCCATACTTCTTCGTAGATTTCCTACGTTATTGTGAGAAAGAACAAAGCGAACGAGCTTATTGCCATTTGCAGCACACTTCCCAGCCTTTTCGCGGACAGCGGCTGGGAGATGCGTGGCCCAGCTCGAACCGGCAAGGCGTCCGCCCGGATTGGCATGCCGTGCTTTCGGGCGATGTGGGCACTGCCGCTGTGGGTCTTTCAATAAAAGGTATAGACTAGGAGGTAGGTCTAGCTTTGCAGGTAATTGGCTCATCACAAGACCAACCTATCATTTCATTACATGGCACAGCCCAGCTGCTACTTTTGCATTGAGTTGTACTGGTACAAACTGAAAAGCACACCCAAAGACGGTACAAGCCAAGGCAACCGTGCTGCTCCTTTTTTTTCCTGTACCTATTACCATATTGGTTCTGTGGCGGTTGGTCATACCTTGGGCTCTGCCAACTGCAAAGTTCTTTACAATCCATCTCACCTGGAAAGTGTGAACGGTCCAACTCATCATTTCCGAAGCAATGTGTGCGTGTGTATCTTTGCAAATCTTTCTAGCTTTCCAGGAAGTTTGCCTCAGCAACCAAGATGCAAAGGTGGCTGGCCACCTCTGCACAAGGGCTGAGTCACTGGAACAAAAACTTGTATCCTGACTCATGTGGTTTTACCTCACGAACGGGTAATCTATTAGATACCCGAATGTCAACTAAGGCAAAAACGCACATGTATAGGTACTTTGGATTGGATCTTTCAACCCCAAACAGGTCCCCTTTCTTTTGAGCTCAGCAAAGACCTTTAAGGTCTGCTTCTGTGGCTCGGGCCGCTCCAATTCTGGAGGTGTCCGAAAACCATCACGTCAGCGTCCCCGGCCATTCCTAGAGACCTTCATTCCCATAGACGCTTCCGGCCAAACCAATAGATGTCTCCCCATGCGCCTGACGAGAGTGGCACCATCGATTGCCGGCACGAGAGATACATCAAGTGGCACAGCAGTGTCACACCGCCAAGACAACAGGTTGTTTCGCACTTTAATGAACAACGAATGCATCGCTTTATTTCATCTGCTTGCTTGCCACATCATGCTCCCCCCCAAAAAGGGGAATAATAGACATATATACTATCTTGAAGTATCTTGTAGTAACAAGTGCACCGCCACTAGTAACAAGGGCATTGCTACTAGTAGCAAACAGCTACTAGTAACAAGTCCATCTTGATCTATCTTGTCTTCTTCTTCCAAAAGGAAAACACGCAAACATCTCCTTGTGTCCTCTCGCCCCGTTCATTTCCCGTTTCACTCGGTCCCGTTTCACTTGATCCCGTTTTGCTGAGCCCACCGGTGTCTCGGACTCCTCGGATGCCTCAAACTTGTCGTGGTAAACCCTTTTCGACGCCGTTCATTGAGCCATTATGATCCTTTATGATCCTTTATGGCTATAAGTGCTAGGGATGGAGCTATTTGAAGGAGTTGATGCCATGGGGTGCGTGGTCCAGGACATCGTGTCTCTCTCTCTCTCTATATATATACACTACTTTTTTCTTTATCAGATTAGAGAGCGAACATTTGAAGACTGTCAGTTAGTGTGCAACATATCATTCCAGTCTTCTGAGCACAGTACCAGATGTTGTCTGGGCGCAAATCCTTGACACCAGCGAAAAGCCAATGTGTCCCGACCGCGGCGGGAAATGGCCAATGACTTGCTGAGGGCAGGTCTGTGCAAAAGCCAACTGAGTCGTCTAGACGCTTTCCTCAGCTTCATTGATGGGAATGTGCGACAAGGACAAGGAACATGAAGATCATGCAACAGTGAACTTGTATACTTTTGACGGGTTTTGTATTCTGCAAGGGTTTGACTCCCAGACTTGTACTGCACAACAAAAGCCTTGCATTGCCTGCGCCATTGCTGCGTGAAATTGTGGTCGGTGTTGTGGATTGCACAGTGCTGCGATGGTTGGCTTATGACTGTTATATGCAGAAACCCATCATATTAGAGAGGGTGAGAAGTTGAGAAACATGAGTGTAGGACGCTATATAATCTCAGTTTGCTTTGGACAGTCCAATCCTGCATTATGATGCCTTCTCATGTTCTTGGACTCCCAACGGACAAGGCCAGTTCGATAGAAGACCAGCGTCATTGGCAATTCTCTGGCAGTTGTAAGTTCCTTCTACACTGTACACACCTGCTTTACAAGTAGCTCAGAATTCAGCCTGTTGGGCAATCATTGTACTGTGTGCACAGGGTTACCAGTCGAAGGTTCCAAACAAGCACGCTCAGTCAACCTTGTACCATCCAGGTGAAGTGAATATAGCGAAACCGAACAAACTGAACAAACATGTCAGACAACTGTGCTATTCAAAAGTCGTGCCAACCAGCATTTCACCTCTGACGCCCGAAGATGGCGAACCAATCACGAGCATGCTGGGGCCTGTGACACGTTTCCGTATGCTAAGGCCAAGTCTGCGGGAGGCCAGGCAATTGTGCACTGTTGGCCTCGTGAGCATTTCTCCGTCGCCGCTGCAGCGTGTGCATGCTTGTTTTAGCGAAAAACGACCCCAAGAAAAGCCAAGGGAAGTCCCCTGAGGTCACATCCGGAAAAGGATGGAACAAGAAGCTACTAGTAACAAGGTGCATCGCTTCTAGTAACAAGTGCCTTACTAGTAGTAACAAGAAGCTATTAGAAACAATAAGCTACTAGTAACAAGGGCATCGCTACTAGTAACAAGGTACTGTATAGAATAGATACCCTGCAGGTGTCGATCGATCTCACTCATCACAAAACCATCGATCTGAGCGAGCGACCAAACCGTTCAAAAACCGACCCCCCAAGGACACTTTGCAACACAGAACCACCAGGTTCCAAGGACGTTTCAGCAAACATGGAAAAGGCCACGGGACCATGGCGACCAGCGAATGATTGAAACACCCAAGGCAGAAGGAGCTCAACTGTCTGAGGGTGCTGCTGGCGCAGCAGCCACTGTTGCTGAACCTGAGCCATCCCGGTCAGGATGCGCCGAAAAACGGACCGCCAACTTAAAAGCAAAAGGGATAGCCGGGACCGAACATGTCGGTAAAGCACGTACCACGAAACACTGCCTTTGAATGTGGATAACTTCTTGTCAAGCCCAACTGCAAACTTGTCAACAACAATTCAACGATTAAACTTTCAACAAAAGTTGTCCGACGTTGGTCTGATGATGACCCTTGCTCTGAGTAGAAGAACTAGGATATATTTTTTTTGTTTGGAGGGCATGAAGCTGCCTACTATATAGTCAAAACTGCACAAAACTCTTAGTATCAGGCCATAGCCTTCCGCGATTTCTGTCTGGCTGAGCCAGCTCTCACTTTCCATCCTCCTGCGCTCTATCTCCTGCAAAACGGAAACCACACATTACTCCGTCTTTCTCGAACCCCAAACCATTTAATGCATGTCCTGTGTACTTACGTATCTTTCAGCAACCTGAAAGATAACACAAGAATGGGAACACAAGGAACGGGGCACAAAACATGTTGAATCGACATGTGGGTCTGACAAAACAGAAGGCAACCGCCCCATAAAGCTCTAGACCTGCTTGAAAACCAGCCGGTGGACGACGCTTTCGCTCTGCTTCGCTCTGCTTCGCTCTGCTTCGCTCCTTCGGTTCCGCGTCCACCAGATCTTCTTCGAGAAGGACCGGCTCCAGTGCTGCCAACTTTTGCCAATCTCCCGCCTGACGCGGAGTGACGTGACGTGTGACGCGAGCAGAGCTGCTCCACCCGATTCATCGGAAAGAGCGAAACTCGACGTGTGTCTTTTTACTTTGTTGTCCCACCGGAAAGAGATTGAACCGGAAGGAGGGGTCGAGAGGCAAAAAACGATCCGCGCTTGGCTTGTGGGCTTGGAAGTTCGTTTTTGGACCATGCTATGAAGAGAAACACCTGAAGAGTGGGTGAATGCTCCAGGAAAGCAATGTTTTACACAGCCACATGGTGCAACAATGTGCCACGTGAAGGGAAGACAAGGTCCCTGCAAGGTCCCGGTCTAGTCTAATGGCCCCAACTTTCATCGCTATCATGTTCCATTTTCCAAAGTAAGGCTACACTGCTACACACGAACACCAGGCTACACTGCACCCGTCCTCATTGGCAGCAAACAACTCCTCCTCCAGCAAGACGATCATGTCCAGCGTCGTCTGCACCGCAGGGTCTACTCCATGAGCTGCGTATTTCAGCTTGGCGCTGCGGATGGAGAAGGCGGATGTGGCGGATGGAAGCAGATTGTCCGTGGCCAGGCGAATGGAGAAGGGTGTGCGCTTCCGATCCGGGCGATCGCCGGTGACGGGTTCTCCAATGAAAGCGAAGGTCAGAACTCTCACTTGACCCCCACCAATGCAAATGACAAAGGTGGGCTGCAAGAGAACGGGTGGAAGTCCACGCTCGACCACCAGCTGCATGCCAGGGCTCACCGAGATATTCACGGCACACTCTTCGGCCAGTGCTCGCAGAACCGCTTGGTCGATCTTGCGCTCCTTGAGCCTCTGCAGGTGCTCAGGAGATGGTGTATCGTCCTCCTCCAAGTGGCTGTTGACCCCGAGCGTGCCACGTCGGCACATCAAGGTGTTCACACCACTGGATGTAAGCCCAAAGCCTTGATCGAGAAGCTCTTGAGCAATCGCATCCGCCAAGGCATCCAAAGCAGCACTGCAGGATTCAGCATTCACATTCCCCACGTTCTCTTGGTGATCCGGACGGACGGGGTAAAGTCTTCGGCGCCCCAAGACCAGAATGCTACCTCCTTGCATGGTCCGTCCCAAATCCCGAAGACATTCTAAACGTTCTGCATCGGAAGAAGGAAGCACGATATCGACCTCTACAGGGCAGGGGTTGCTCAGAATGCCACATGCGCATGTCGTCATGATCCTTCGAGTATAAATCTAAATATATATATATATATAGTTTCTTTTTTTGTGGCAAAGATTAGAGCAAGCATGACACCACATGCAAATGTATATTTGGTGCCTATATTTTATAGTCTTATTCCAGGGAGATTTGGAATTGTTGACACCTTAGCAATTAGGAGCAAGGACGCTACTAGGGGCTCCTCGCATCGCTACTAGGAGCAAGGACGCTACTAATGGGACAAGGCTTTGGTGGGGGCTGCAACGTCTCAACGTCTTTTCGCAATCCATCACCGAGCCCTCTGGGCAATCACGTAGACCTTCAGGCAGTGGAGGGAGATTGGAGTGCCAAAAACGGCTTTGGCTGTCTCCGAGCCGTTCCATGGCAGTGCTTAGGAACTGCTTGGAGGTCACAGCAATCTTTTCTCCCAATCGTCTAGCATGGCTGTCTGCCCGTGCAGCTGAATGGGAAGCCTCAGTCACAGCTGTGAAGCTCAAGTCCTTGAAATTGCATCAGTCTGCATCTTCCTTCCATATCTAGGCTGCTTAGGTCTTTGCTTTAGTTCATTACCATTGAAATAATATATGACTATATATATATATGTTGTTCCCTCCTCTCTGAAAGTTCCAAGTTTACCGAGAAACCGTCAAAATGATCTTGTGGGTTCCAGAGCTCACAGAAGAGGCCAAAGTGGAAAACACAGGGGCCCTGCTCGACTCGACGGAAGAAGCCATGGCCCAAACGCCTTCGGATCAGCTAGACATGCCAAGGCTGAACTGACTAGTCCTACAAGACTGGTAGCCCCTTGAGTGTTGGTAAGCTCAAAAAAAAGACTGTAACTTTGGTGTTGATGGTCGTTTTGCCATGGCTTTCCCATGTGGTGCCCCGTCTTGTGCCACATGTGTTGTGCGATGTCCTCTTGTGGGCGATTTCGCTTCGAGTTATGATGTAAGAAGCGAAGAAACCTTTCACAGCGAGCCTCAGCAAGCTTCTTTTTTTGGCACTTGCGAAAATTGTGCGCACCTATCTGATATATCTGATGATATGGAGCACACCTATCCCATGAGCATACCTGTAAATGGCTGCCAAGAATCATGCCGTTCAAGTTTTCAACTATGAAGGGAAGTTGTCGTGGCCATCTCATCATTGCCTTGGCCTACTACATCTTTACGGCAAAGTGAACATATACCATTAAAGAAACGACATTGACAGTAAACCCTTTCAACACCCACAGTGTTTCGATGCTTTTAGTCTCCGGAAGGGCAGGCACAGCGGACTCCAGAGTGTATTGACCTAGGTTGCCTGGAGAAGGGCTTCGCTACATCGGTCACACGCGATGCCACGGAAGCAACCGAATGCTTTGACACCCCTTCACAAAAGCGCGGTTTTTCCTGCGCGCGATCGGCGTCGCTCTTCTCTGGGCTTCCGTCTGGAGCGCGGAATTCCCTAGCTGGCTTTGGCTTTGTATTTCTTTGTGAGGAGGCAGGACTCGACCACTGTGATGCCCCAGTCCTGCGACGTCGTGTTTTTTCTTGTTTGCCAGGGCAAAGCAAAGCCGTCGGCACACTGCACAGGGCAATAGAGCGATCAGTTTGGTACCATATACAGTACCTGGTGGTTGTCAATCTGGGGGTATTCATGGGTATCCCCTCTAGTAATTAATCAACCAACCAATAGTAAAAGGCCATCTATGGTTCTGTTGCCTCACACATCCATTTCTCGGTTGCAAACATGCGATCTTTGTGAGTCCTTACCACTATTGTGGCCAGCACCATCAACTCCAGCCCTTTCCTTCGCCTGGCCAAATGCAGTGTTTCTAGCTACAAAAGTGATCAAGCAAGGACCAGTTTCTTTTTTCTGCCTTGCAACTTGCCAGTTTGCCATACTGTTTTGCCACCGACAGATTTACAACAGGAAGGCAAGCGATATCGGAATCGTTTGACATTTAGTAAGGATTGGCATGTTTCATTAACTCTCGGCTCTTTGTCAGTACTTTGCGAACGATTTCGCTTTCTAGGCGCGCTTCCAGATTTTCCAGGGATGTTAAAATGCTTTCACAAAGACACATCATCCTTCTATTTCTCTTCTCACTGACTTGGTCATTCGTGATTTCCCCAAAGTCTCAGGCCACTGGATCACTTTCGCTTCGTCTTGGGTAAGGGATCAAAAAAAAAGCAAAAAAAAGACTCAACAAAAAAATACTCAACGGGGATCAATAAAAAAATAAAAAGGGAATCAAAAAAATATTCTAGCCCACTGCCCCTCCTAGTAGGGAGCTATTTCTACTGGTGAACCATTTTTCGAGTAGGGCTACTCAATGACTGGACGGCAACCTTATCGTTGGGTACCTACTTTCTTCCCAGGGAGCTGCCTCTAGTAGAAAGCAATCAAGCCTCTATTTGCGCAAGCAGGGGACCAGGAGATCGACAGACGAGCGCCGTACGAGAGCAAAAGACCAGCGGACCAGGAGACAGAAGGACTAGGATACCAGGGGACCAGCGGACCACAGGACCAGGAGACCGGAGGACTAGGGGACCAGTGGACTGAAGGACCAAGGGACCAGGGGACCAAAGGACCAGTGGACCAGAGGACCCAGGGACCAAAGGACCAAGGGACCACATTACCAGAGGACCCGCAGACCACAAGGCCAAGAGAGCAGCAGAAGAGGCCTATCAAGGAATATTTATTTTCTGATTCGCTTTTTATTTTTTTTTGATCCTGTTTTTATTTTTTTTTGATGCTCTTTTTATTTTTTTTTGATATATACCTATGCCCTTCGTCTTCGGCACGTTTTGCGTCCGGGGCCCTGGGGCCTGGTCTTCCATTCGATTGAGCGCACAACACATGGCAAAATCGCCTGCTCCTCGTTGAGGCAACCAAGGATTCCATAGATCACCTCAGCAATCAAGGAGATCACCACGTTCCGCAACATCGAACCAATGCACTTGAGGAGGGTGAGATGTGCTGAGGTGCTTGTTGTTCGTTCTTTTCTCATGGCTTTCTCTACTTTCCTCCGATTTGGCGATTGAACAAGACGCGGTCTTTAACCGGTGATGCAAACAAAACGGAACTGCGGAAGCGGCTGGTGATGCGGACCACGACGATGGCGACAAACGCCCAATGGCTCACCACCAGCCCGGTCTCTGAGCCAATGGCAGGCACCTTGAAATCAAGGTTGAGCCTCATGATTCCCTGTGTCACAGCCTGGCACCCAAGTTCACAAATATCTTCTGTGGTCCAGTTCAGGTCTGTTTGGGAGCCGCGACGAAGACAGAAACTGGACGCAAGAAAATGACTCTCCTCGCTGATGTACTCGAAATGCATGGTGCCACCTTTGATGAGGCAGCCAATACCTGCCAAACTCGTCAAGGAACCGCTTGGGAAGAGCCAAGCCCGGTCTCAATGGCCACCCGTGGATCCTTGGTTCCACTCCTTTCTGAGCCCCAAAAAGACGAAAGCTGCAATCACTTGTTGGTGTACGACCGTAGTATAGACAGTGCCTGGGAATCCATTGGACTAGACGACATCTACTGTAAACTTAAAGGATGTCAGCCAAAACTCCGGTTAGCCAAACGCCCAACGCCAAAGACGCCTCAAAAAAAGAAGTACCTAACGAGGCAATTGAAGAACGGACTGAAACATCAAACATTCTAAACAATAGGCAATGGACACACTGCCTCACGGTCACGTTCTCATCCGAATTCTACCAAACACTGGCGTTCTCATTGCGCACAAATGATGCCATCGAAGTGACCCGTGAGGAGCATCGCCTGAAGAAACAGAGCGGTGTGGGTCGGTCAAAGCGAGTGTGGTTGTGTGGTCAAAAAAGAGCTCTTTTCATCTCTTTTCCATTTAGCCATGTGAAAGCACTGTAACAGTTCAAGAACAGGCGGTGAAGTTGGTGAAGCACATTTTTCAACTACCCATGGGTAGGCTTGGAATCCTAAACTCAAAGACCTTTCACAAGGATCCAATTTTCAGGCTACCGAACCTTTGAACGACTGCAAAGGTTGATCTCACCAGCATGACTCCAGGCCTGTGCTGCCTGCGGTATTTCGTAGGATCCAGCCTCAAGAAATCGGATCTTTGAAATTTGAGACAAAGCACAGCGGGTGAAGCTGCGAAGTTGGATCGCATTGGTTGGCGCCAGTCCGGTATGACGACTGGACTGTTCTCCACAGGATTACGTGCGAGACCCAATCTCAATCTAGACCCACTTGGTCTTGACGGAGTGCAACATCTGGCAAACAAACATGCAACATGAACATGATCCACACAGCTCGAGAGATGTGAGGACAAAGTCATATTTCAACTGACTTAACTTCAATTCAATCACTAGAATATCGATAGCTTTATGGCCCATGGTGCAGCATAGACACTGATGAGTGAACACACAGGAGCTCGTGCTGTAGCAAATTCACACAGGAAAACGAGGCCACGTTCTATCGGTTGTTGCTGGCGTTTTGCCCGGTTGTTCTGCCGGATCTGTTCGCTTTCCTTTCAACATTGCAAAGGTTGACCCTCCAGTCTCGGCATCGGTGTCACGCCATGCGACAACGTGCTCGGTGATGATGTCCGTGACCTGGCTTTGTGGGCAACAGGGGCGGGAGAGGAGCCCCTTGCGTGATGGGTTAATCAAATGAGACCTCACAAGCTTTACTTCCGTATCTTCTACAATCCGAGAGACGCAAACAAAGAGCCCGTCTCCGGATTCTCTTTGACAAATGTACACATTTGCCAATGTTTGTCATAGAGATCCATGAATTGAAATGAAAGGCTGATCTGGTGCCATATCTCAGTCCCTCACATTGCAGGACTTCAGAGCTTCAACCGCCCCTGCAACCAAGCTATCCTTAGCCGTTCACCGTTCCTGGAAAGTTTCGATATCGCCAATGCTTGAGAAGACTGTTGTGGCAGGAAGGACTCATATCCAAACAGGAAGGACTCATTACCCATGAATCTGTCAGTCACGGCTTCGCTGGCCACTCCTCACTCAGACTCCGGCACACACCACGGAGTTCCATCTAGCACTTACAATGCCGATCCGCAGGCCAGCACCATCATAGGTGGGCAAGTCCTTGGTGACCGGCATGAGATTTCTTGGTGGGGGTAACGTTTCCAAGCCTTGAAACTGCATGCAAACGTCTGCTTTCGTGCACACACACGATTCACTTTCTCCCTTCAATGAAGCCAACCACGGCCAACAAACCTCCACATGCCCACGAACACTTGATTCCAGTACCTGGCTACGCGATTCGCACCATTTTATAACACCCATTCCAAGTGAGGTCAACAAATGTCACACGGATCGCTTCTGAGCTGCTCGGAACATGCTTGCGATCCAGCGGCCAAACCACGGATTGACTTTGCACCATCTGGGTTTGGAGCCTCGGATGGCGTGGGTTTTGGTCGCCCATCGCCAAGGCGACAAGGCGACAAGGCTCAATGCTTGTTTTTTTTGCAACATCCGAACTTGATGCTAACAACATCTAACAACTGGGTGGGTAAACCGAACTGTACCACCGCTCTTGCGGCTAGTCAGCTGGTTTCCACTGAAGGCTTGCCACCGCAGCTGTCTAAATGCTGCTCCTACGTAATACTTGGGTCGGAGGCTCTCCGATGCACGTCGCACGGCGTCTGGAACGAAAAGCCTCGACCAGCGACCGGCCGGCCGGGGGGGGCGACATTTTCAATTTTTCGCTTGGCCGTCGCCATGTCCTGGGAGCAAAAACATCTCTCATTTCTCATCATTTCTCCATCTCACAAGAGTCAACACTCAGCC